ACTGACCCCGTCGCTGTCGTCACTCTCCTCCATGTTTATTGTTACTGGTCTGTGAGGGGCCGACGCCAAATGATGACGACAACCTGTATGTGCAGAGGAGGAGACATTAAAAAGACCACATGGATACTGATCTGACTGTTCTGACGGCACTCACACAATCAGAGGTCAGAGAAGAATCAGGTCTAGGAGCACATACGCAGGTGGCCCAGATCTGGTCTGAGGACATCTGGTCTGTTCACACTGCTGTGGACCTTCAGGGGCCAGAACCATAGAACTGTGAAGATTCATGACCAAAACTTACAGAGCATGCGCACTGTTTCCATCAGACTGATAAAGCAACATGCATGCCCCTGATTCTGTTTTATAAATCTCTGTCTCTGTGGAACTGGGCACATCTGGAAGAGCTTCTTTACTACTCCCACCTTCAGCCATAAATAGATGTAGACACACCCTTAATCGACCATTTGCATAAAAAAACTGCCTCTGATCCACAAGACATGGCAATGAAAGCAGCACTAGAGAAGGGAAATATCTGAGCCACAGAAAAGACAATTTGTTTGGTGGATTCAGCTCATGGATCACAACCAGAAGAAAAGCTGCTGAATGGCAAAAGATGTCAGCTGTCTTGTTGTTGACATAGCCAGATGTTCAAATTAAATCAGAGAAAAGCAGAAAATCTCTGACGTTTTTGCTCAGAAAGGATTAACTGGCTACTCATTTGACCCCTGATTTATGACTGTAAAAAGTCTGATTCTGCACTAAGAGACATATTTTGCTCACTTATTTCTATACTTGAAGGGAACCTGGAAGCTACGACTTGAGGGGGTTAACATGGTTGCGCTCACAAAGATTGAAAGTGGGCATTTGTTTTGTGTATTTCATGCTCTACCAAAACACAGCAATTTTCTATGAATCTAAAACAGCTTTCCTGGTGAGGCCCCACATGCTGCTGCTGCCAGGAAAGGGCTTGTTTCTTCTACCTGCAGGTAACGTAGCTTTCATATGAGACCTTTCCCTCCAGCCGCGGCCCAGCAGGTGGGAGGGTCACACACAGGTAGAATTTCCCACTAATCACCTGATGTACCTCCTTTTGTTCTTGGGTCTAAAAAAGAGTCCCTGGACTTTATGTTCCTGAATTGACTCCAGCCAGAGGAGCTCGGAAACTGGAAGGAACTGGACTAATTTACAGACAAACTGGGGGAAAGTGCTCCCATGATTCTCCCTGGCACTGCTCATTCACCATCATAGCACTGACTCTTTTCATACGCATGATGACTTGGAAGGAACAATGGATTCTGTTTATGCTCATTAATGAATGACAGGAGCTGTAGAAAAGTCTGTTGCGTCACCATATCCAGACTTCATGTTGGCAGCTGCACAGTTAACAAATAATGTGTTCATTGTGTGCTTGTGGTGTGCACACAGTGACCTTTACAGTGAGCGAGTCTGATAACTGAGCAAACTGGAAATACACTGTGATTCCACTCCAGTGGCTCCAGTGTTGAGTCAGAGTCCACACTGCAGGGAAGCCCCCGGTGCCTGTCTGGGGTTGAAGCAGTTTGTGGAGCACTGCCCATGGAGGCTGACATAGCGAAACATCTGGAAGTGCTTGGTGAGCCGTCCATCTGCATGTCATGCTGCTCCTCATACTCAGTGTCCACACTGAAGGGAGGCGACTGATTAGTCGCCGCAAAACAGACCCACGTTCATCGTGTTCTATGGACTCATGACTGGACCCTGGGGTATTCAGCACAGAGGCCTCAATGGGACATCAACATGTCTGATGTGCCCCCACAGCTCCACTACACCACTAGCGCCACTCGTTCTCCAGATGTGTTGATGTCAACAGACGTTAATCTGGATTTGATTAGAGGCTGTATTTAATATTTCTTGGATAATGTTCACCAAGTGTAATGTGAACAGCTCTGCTGCTACAGGTTTTCAGCTCACAGTTCAGTGTTGGACCACAGCATCCCGGTTCACTGTCTCCACTCTCACAGCGCGACCTGCTCGGCAGCAGACAGGGCCAGTCAGAGAACAGCTGGGGAACACAGTGGAGCGTTTAGCTGCTCCAGAGCCAGAGGTTTCCCTCGGGAGGTGGTGGAGACCAAACCCAGAGTGAACAGAGGGCAAGCACTGGGCTGAGGCTAATTAGGGGGACATGGACACACTGCACATGGAGGAGCAAGTTGATCTGTGTCTGCTGGGCGTGGACATAGGAAACGAGTGACATGTGATGACGTCTCAGTGTTGTGTTGACAGTGTATTTCTGTCTGACCTAATGTGGACAGGAGCACAGTTTCTGCAGGTGTATTTATTCAACAGTGGTTATTATTGCAGTATTTTTGCATCCAAGACAGCACCTTGGTTTGGGTTTGTCCTGCTGCAGCCACATTTCCACCATTCATCTATCCTGTTTATCGGGCTGTTTCAGCTTTTTTCACTGGGTACTAGTGAGATTTTGTGCACTCTCCAATGCAGCACGTGGTGTTGAGATGCTGGTGGTGCTGGCTGGTCCAAGCTGCCACATTGAAGCAAAGCAGAAACCATGAACAGTTAGTCAAAACTGTTCTTTTGTTATAACTCCTCCCTTTTTAGCTGAACCACTCCACAGTCATTCCAGTTACCCCCCAGCCCCCACCCACTGCTTAGTCCAGGATAAAACTGGTTCAATCAGCTATCGTTTAACTTGTTCCTGCTCCAAAAGAGAAATCACAAAATGTTGTGTGAAGTCACAACGAAGTCAACTGGCCGAAATGTAAGTAAGATCAATCACGTCTTTTGTTTGAAACCCAGTTTTCGCTCAGTACTGGGGCATAAAAACTCATAAATCTCAGCTCCAACATGTTGATGCCACAGACTTGTGTAAACATTTTTTCCCACAGATGGTTTCCACATGGTCATGGGGGGGGTCATGCCTGAGAGATACGCCCCTGTGCATGTGATTTGGCCTGGCTGTGTCTCTCATAGATCTGGTCCTGATGGTGAGGTGACAGCTGGAGCACATTGCTGGTGTTTCAACACGTGTCAGTCAGAGAGGAGCAGGCGGACGCGCTGCTGCCCGCACTGTTTGTCTGTTTGCTCTGTGGAGGGGAGTCGACCCCGATGTGTGGAGGTTCGCTCGGGAAACTCAACGCGTTTCACTTAACACCACTGTGTCAACATCTGTATGTGATTATTTTTTGAAATTAGTCTGATGCCAAAAGAGTTTTCTAATAAATCAAGGCAGGATTGGTGAAACTTGCCGCAGGCCGTGTTGCTCTCAGCCCCTTCGTCGTGTTAGCGCAGTGTGTGTGACTTTGATGATACAAACAGGCGTCTGACATTTTACAGTATTTGTTGGCTTTAACGAGCTTGCCTCCTTCATTCACAGCCAGAGCTGATCACTTGTCAGATGTTCAAACTAAAAGTACATGTGGCCATGCTGAGATGATTCATTGATTAGCTGACAACTTTATAATTGATTCACTGGTCGAACAGAACAAGCAGGTCCAAGGTGTCGCCTCAGGCTCTGTGTGTTTGTAATGTTTTTACTGAGGCTCAGTGGGACAAACAACGGACTGATTGATTTCCACCATCTAGAGCTGTGCACACAACTGACAGCTGATCTCTGGTTTTACATGCCTTGACACAGCGCAGGACCCGGAACAGATGCAGCTACACTGGAGTTACTTAAACCTTTTTACAGAAACACAGTCAGGACTAAACCTGTGGTTCCCAGGGATTCTTTGGCTTGTGGTCTCTCAGAATAAAGCAGTTTGTAGTTGAAGCCCACCTCATATTTAGGATGTTCAGGATCTGTTTAAGAGCAGTTTCACCACAAAGAGCTGCTTCCTAAATGTCTCACATGGACTAGTCTAAATACCTGCTTTCACTGACCTGTCAGATTTATCTGGTGGCCCTTTAGAGGGATGCAACACCTAGGCTGGGACCCACTGGACTAGACTAGCTAACCAGCTACACATGGAAAATGCTGCTGAAGCACTGATGACTCAGGATCAGTCACCTGATGTATTGTTAGTCACAGACGCTGTTACTAACTTAACTACATTCAGATGATAACATTTATGTACTTTTATTCCAGTGAGATTTTAAGTGGGTGGCCCAGCAGTTAGTACCGTTGCCATTTGGGTTTGAACCTGCAGCCAACTGCGGCCTCTCTGTTTGAAGGCTGCATGTTCTCCTCCAGGTGGACTGGTGACTGTAAACTGTCTGTAGGTGTGAGTGTCTGTCTTTGGGTGTCAGCCCTGTGATAGACCGGCCACCTGTCCAGGTGCGCCCTGTCTCTCACCCACTGTCAGCTGGGATTGGCTCCAACACTGGAGTCCAGCTGTTTGTCTATGAACTGCAGCAGCAGGTTAATGAATGCAGCTCAGTGTGAGAGGTTACATCAGAGCACATTGGGCCAGAGAGCAGTGACAGCGTTGGTGGTCTGAAGTTTTGAGTGTCAAGCAGTTTGATCCACACATGAGGAAGGTTTCCAGCCATGACTCGATTAGACAGATTAAATTCCTGTAACCTGATGGACCGACCTGTGTGGGGGCTGCTGAAGCCTCAGATGGGAATGTGAGTTTAAAACCAGAATTTGACAGTTCATTAAAACAGGAGCAAAGTGAGCCCAGCGTCTCTGCAGATGACAGATTTACATGTCTGAAGAAGCCGAATCATGTGATGTGTAAAACCTTGTTCACAGTAAAGTGAAACCAGGAGGCCACATGCTGTCGTGGTGTCTTGTCTGAGATCATAACTGTCAGCCATCTTTAAATGCACTGCTGGCTTTTGTAATGACCAACATAAGAAGCTGGTCACTGCCTCAGACAGGAACCACCACTGAGTCACAGAGCAGTGAAAACATCATGTTTCACAAACTTCAGTTTGGATTTCAGAGTATCACATTATTAAATTACAAATTTAAAATTCTAAACTTTTCATTTTTTTTAAATGGAACAGGGTTGTGGCTACACCACGTGGTCCTCCAGGGGGCGCAATAACGTCTGTCCGCCCAGATTAAATGGAAGATAATGGCTGGATGCATACAGGACCTGAGTGTATCCAGCTGTTTGTCAGCCTACACACCACATAGCGACAGTCAACATAAACAAGTGGACAGCGTCCCTGGCGCTGACCCATGGCTCCTCCAGCTGTGACTCACAGTGTTTGCTGTATCATTCTCACCGTCTTTGCTGTTTGTTGTTGACATCTTTATGTGACACTGTCTCATGACCAGTGGGTGTCCAGTTTTTGGCACTGACCAGCCTCCATAGTTTCGGCAGTTCTTTGACTTGAGCGCCATCCTCCTGCCAGCTCCTCTGCTGCCTGTGCTCTCTGACTCCTCTCACACTCAGACTCCACAGTGAGTGGGCAGAGACATCATGGAGGCCCTCCTCTGTGCTCAGAAGTCCTCCCCTTCCATTCCCTCTGACCTGCTCTGTACTCAAGCAGCATGCAGGCAGCCTTCCCATCACATGGCCCCGTAGCAGCCGCAGCAGCAGCAGCAGCCTCAGCTCGTGCCGCCGCTGCCTGCCCTGCCATCACTCCAACACTCGCCTCCACCTGCAGGACACCGGGAGCAGCAGCTCTGACTTTAAGGACTTGTGAACAAAAGTAAAGAGTCAAGCTCCTGGATGCCTTTTGGCTTGTGGGGAGTCTTTTTCCATAGGTGCCATCACCTGGACTGGCTCTCATCTGTGGTGGAAAATCAGACTGGAAAGTTTGAGAGAGGACAGAAGTGAATTTCTTTCTGTTACTTTATCTTTTTCCACGTGGGACAGACGTTGCTGTGGGGGAGTAAGTTTCCCATTAACTCGTCCTCTTCTTCCCCTTGCCCCCCTTTTGTTTTGGTGTGTTTCATTTCAGCTTTGTTGTGGCTTAACTGGGAATTTGCTGTGAAACATGCTGGCTGTGCAGCTGTCTCGTCTCGCCTGCAGAGCCTGACGTGAATGAGGGTTAATCGTTTCAACCACTGGGGCTCAGTTAGAGCGACATCGAGCTGTCCAGGTATAAATCAGTGCACCTTCAGCTCAGGCTGCTGCTGTGTTTGTCTCTACAGAAAGATGTTGTGCTCCAGGAGAATCCTGCAGCAGTGGTGCTTGGCTCTGTTCCTGCTCTGCTCTCCGGTGCCACACTACGGACGGCCGATTGATGCCCTGAGCAGCAGAATGTAAGTCTGGATGTGATTTTTGCACTTTCCAGCTTTCTAACTTTCACTCCTCCTAAAATCAACCCATCTGTGCCCCTGAACCAAAGGCTCAAGGAAGCAGAAAAATGAGAAAGTGGAATAAACTTGTAGGTAATCTTTTTTTTTTTTTGATACTTGCTAGTTTCATTTCTTTCCAGCCCCTGCCCCCCCCCCCACATGGTGGGTGAGAAGAGGCTGGAAAAAGTGCCAGCAGCTGTTTAGTCAGCCCTGGGCCACCTGTGTGTTTACTTAAAGCAGAGAGCGTCTCCGTGTGATAGGGCTGAACCCCCCGACCTCCTCGCTGCTGCTTTCCACCCCGGGCACCTCTTTCTGTGGCACGTTCAGGAGGACTGAGAGTTTCAGACCACTGTCCTCTGCCTGCTGCTGCCTGTCTCTGAACAAAGACTTTAAGTCTTTGCAAAGGAAGGAAATGAATAATGCTGATGTTTGGCTCGGCTGCAGCCCAAACCAAACCTGCTGCTCCTGCTGAGGTGTTTGATGCCAAGCAGGATAAATGTGCTTTCAAGTTGTTAAGCCAGAATGCTAAACACACAGTAAGAGCTTTTTCTCTCTGGAAAGACGATAGCGCTGAGACAGTTTTTGGATGTAATCAGTCTTTAATTAGGCCGTGGGAGGATGCTCTGACAGCAGCTCAGAAACCTCTGGCCTCTCTGACTGAAGGAAGCTCAGAGTCCCAGGGGAGCGAGACCACATGTGAAATGCATTCTGGGAGCTAAAGGAAGAACATCAGGTCTTTAAAGTGATTCAAACTGTGTATTGTCCAGGTTTACGTGAGCGTTAACGGGCTCCAGCAGTTTCCACACTCGGGACAACAGACCATTCTCTCAGTGTGTGTGGAGCTTCTTGTGCTTATTTCAGGGGAAATGGAGCTCCACCCGCTGTGTGATACACAGGACGGAGTTAACACCATCGAGTGGAAAGGAACACGCGGGCACCATGAAAACACTGCAACAGAAGTCGCAGAGCAGTGGATGCGCGTGACCTCTGACCTCCTTCATCTGTTGCTGTGGCCGTCACTTAGAAAGATTTGGCTGGTTTTCAGCTGGATCTCCTGTTTTTTAAGCTTAGGAAATTAGATTTGTCTTGAAAATCTTGTTGCATTGATGTGACAGAGGTGAGAGCAGGCGGTCCCACACTCTCTGGCCTCCAGTCACAATGCAGTCAGCATATGGGCTTCACATCCTTCTAATGCCTGTGGATCTGCCATCCAGTCCGTTAATGAATCAGTTGATAAATTGGCCTTTGAGTCATTCGTCACTGTGGATTAAAAGCTACCAAACATGATGTTTGTAGCCTCTCGGACGTCTTACATCAGAGGAACGTGAATGTTTGTGGGTTTTAGATATGATGACAGACATGTTTCACAGTTTCTGGTGTTCTAGCGAATAAAAGATAAAATACATAATAAGTGGTTATTTATCAGTGAAACCTTGAGGAACGTACAGAAACTCTTCATGGAGCTGCACCAGCCTGAACAGTGTGAAACTGTCCACATTTTGATTTGAATCCTGAGCGATCTGATTGCTGACGTGAAATAGATTTTGAATCTGACATCAGGCACATTTCTATGGCTTCTGGTACTGAGTGGTTACAGGCTCCACTTGGCTCAGGCTGCACGTTTCTGGATTTTTTTTGTCTACTCAAATGCTTATTTTGATACTTTTGAAGCCTAAGGGGCTGGAAGAATCCGAGCAAAGTCTTTCAAATGTAGATGTTTTTCCTTATGTGCAGCTGGTCTTGTGGTGGTTCTGGTGGTCTGGGATCAGAACCCCCCGTTAGAGAACTGTACAGCTCATCGTGAACATGTGGGAGTCGATATCTGAGGCCCCACAGCTTCAGGAGCTGAACCAACAAACATGTTAGCCTGTTTCCAGCAGCAGTAGGTCAGCTGGGAACTGACACACTGTAGGAAACACGCTCCCACTCTCAGCCCTCTCCCACAGAGATCAACAATTAGCCGCAGGCAGGCTGAGCACGGTGAGCACTGGAGCGCTGCCACCTCAGGATGTATCAGGGCCATTTCCCTCCTCTCCTCGCTGCATGGTGTTTGATGTGAGCTTTATTAAAGGTAAAAACAAAGCCAGATCACTTTTCAAAGATGCGCCTCCCACTGTGTGTGGGTTTTCCTCATTCACTCTGCCATTTACAGGAAATATCTGTATGCATATAAACAGAAGCTGCTCTCAGGGGCTCCCTCTGTGTCTGGGAGGCAGGTTTGGTTCATATTATTCAGCCGAAAAACACACTTTCACACAAGGGAGGCTGAATAAGAAGATCCCTCTTTCGCTCCTAGTCTCCTGCTGGTCAACTGGCCTGACATTTTTCTTTCTGTTCAGACACCTGACCGGTGTTTGGCCGGCTGGCACTGGTCGTTTCCAGGCTTCGAGCCATGCCCTGTGCCTCTCTGCTTTTCTAAGAGTTCAGACTCTGAGTAACGCAACACTGTGGGAAAGCAAAACCTGAATCCTTCTGCTGCTCCAGCTGAATGTGAAGGACACCAGGTCAGCCTCCTCTGCCTCTACTGACTCATCTCTTCTTCTTCCAGCCTTTAAAACTTTTGTCCTTGTAGCTGAACTTTATTTTATTACATCTGCCAACAAATGGGTTAATGCATGTTTGACTCTGTTGATCTGTTTTTTAAGTTACACTTATTTGGCAGGTGCTCTTGTCCCACGGACACATCCCAGTGTAGGCTGGTGTAGCAGCACCATGGGAGCTGGGGGACTCTGAGGCCTTCCCGGGCTAGAAGAGATGCATAATCCTCCAGTGTTTTGGGCCTCCTCCTCATTTTGGATGTACCCAGAAAGCCTCCTCTCCTCTAATGCTACTTCACCAGCAGTTGGTGCAACGTGATTAATTGAAATGACCAGAACTCCTCTGGGAAAATCACCTGACGGGGCACAGCTGTGTCAGATGTAAAGTTTTGCATCCAGATGCAGATTAAAAGATTCAAAACAATATTTAAAAACAGCAGGTATTTGTTTTGTGGCAGTCCATTTGATTTGAAATACAGAAATCACCAAGTCTTTTTTCTCTGATGGACCACAGATAACTGGCTGTTTAGCTCTCTAGCTCTGTGTGCCACAAATCTGTCCGTTAACATCAGTATTAATGAAAAGTGAAGGGCCAAAGGGTTGTCTTCGCTATGACCGTAATAATGAAGCATCAGAAGGAAAACTGGCATTTTCCCTCTTGTGGAGGTCCTGTGTATCACTTTTAACAAGCCTGGAAACAGATTCAGCTCCTGTGGTTCAATGAATCACTTCGCTGCCTGAGTGCAGCAGGGAGTTGCTGTCCTGAGCTTTTCCAGCCTTTTTAACTGAGGAGTGGGGGGCTGAGAGCAGGGGTCTCTGAGAGTTCATCTGCATCTAAGAGACAAAAAAGTTTTCCATCACACAAGACATGATGAAGAAGCCAAACAGTGTTCACAGTGCTTGTCTGTGCTGCTGCTTCCCCCTCATTCTTTAACTTACACTGCCCCCTGCTGCTGACTCATGGGAACTGCAGCTTACACCAGGTGTGTGTGGGCAGCAGGTGTCTCTTAACCACAGTGTGCTTTAATCACAAGACTGAAAAATGTTCTTTTGCTTTTCCCCTTTCAGTTGTTCTCTTTTCAGCTAATATGAATGAATGAAAATGAAGATATGTGGTTTTTACGTGGCAGTACAACTAAACTACTCGTCTTCACTCAGTACTTGTACTTACCTATGTACACTGAATAATACATATTCTAACCTTTAAAACAAAGTACATGAACATCCACGACATGTAGTACTTGAGTTTCAATGTACTTCTTCCCCATAATTTTTATATTTTCAAAAAAAAATTAATACTGAATAAAAAAACTTAAGTAATATTCTGACTATTTCTTATTTGTTAACAAGCTGGTCACTGTGTGCTTTTAGGACCCTATCACACAAAACTATTCACAAAATTTTAAAAATATAAAAATGTCAGTGAATTTTGGTGGAGAATTCAGCCATGTGCTGGAATCAAGCAGGGCTGTTGTGACTACATTCATAATATTTAAATGCAGGGTGTTTACTTATGAAGAAGTATTCTGACACATTTAACTTAGAAAAATTGCCACTTTCCCTCTCTCTACAGGAGGTACATGGCATTACCTCATTTGGCAGACACAGGAGTTTACAGTGAGTCAGGACATCTTTAAAATCTTCAGCTGTAGAGTTCAGTTGTGGTGGTCCCGTCCAGACAGTAAGGTCGTGGTCAGACATTTTTTAATGTGTTTTTGAGCTTGAAGGAGTTGTTTTTTACTCTTTTGTGTGTTTTTGACCATTTGCTGAGCAGTGTGGGCCGAGCAGGGCCACTCAGCGCTGTCAGGCCTCCATAGCTCTGCTGTCACAGCACAGTTCTTATAGGCCTGAAACTGTGAGCTCAAATGTCACTGTGGCCTTAAGCTGCTCTACTGCACTCTCAGCTCAGTCTCCAGTATCTTTACGTGCTTCATTAAAAATAGTACTTATAAGTCCCACGCTCCCTCTCTCAGCAACAGCCATGTGTGGTGCTCCTTTCCATTGCAGTTATGAAATGCTTTGAGCTAGTTACGTCATGACTCACGAGGAAAGTGAATATTTGTGCTGTTGTTCTGGTACATGTACTGCAGAATATTTACTTGTAAAGAACAATTTTCACAGTTTTACTGAATGACAAATGTTTTTCTTTTCCCTGGCAACAGGAGGTAAGTATATTTCAAACATATGAACATGAAAACTGGTACAGTCTAATTGAACCAATTCTTTCATGTGATCTTTGCAGAAAACGCTCTGTGACTCACGCTCAGCTGATGCACGACAAAGGTCGGACACTGCAGGACTTTAAGCGTCGCATGTGGCTGCAGGAGCTTTTGGACGAAGTCCACACGGCGGAGATCCGTGACTTTCCTGTCCGGACCACAAGCGGAGGAGGGAGCAGCAGCGGCGCTGGCGTCGGGCTCTCAGGGGTTGGACTGGGAAACAACCTGAGCACCACCGGCAGCACCCAGCACTCCAAACCCCCTGGAGGGAGCAAAGACCTCCCCATCACCTTCAGGGTGGAAGAGGAGGAGGGTACCAACCTACCACAGGAGACCAACAAGTCAGAGACATACAACGGCAGCGTCCTCAAAGCACCAGGCAAGAAGAAGAAAAAAGGCAGGGGCGGGAAGAGGAGGGAGGGAGAGAAGAGGAAGAGGAGGGTGCGCTCACTGGAGAGGAGGCTGGAGGATGAACTGGGGAGTGGACTCCCCCTGGAGTGGAGGTCTCTGCTTGGCCTTCAGAGGGCGCTGCTTTAAAACGCCGTCAGTCTCTGACAAAGGTGAGTCCACAGGTCAAAGTCTGGCAGTCAAGGAAAGTTTGTGGGTACATCCCAATTCCTTTAATGGCATCCACATTTCTCTCGTCTTTTCCTTGCATCTTAGCCCCACTCACGTAAGATGCAAGGAAAAACTGTGTGGAGAGAGGAATCAAGGAAACATGTTTTTAGAGACATGAGACCTCCCTTCCTCCGACCCTTTGTCTGAAGCATCCAATCACTGATTTCTGATAAATGGCATGTCAGGCTATGAAAGACTTCTGTGCAGGATGCTCTGTTTTATCTTCGCTCATGGCTTCTCCAGCAGCTTCCTTGCTCCTTGGAGTACATATAAGAGCTCTGGGATGTCCTTCGAGATGGCAGACTGCAATGACTTGAGTGAGGAGTGATCAGATAAGGGAATTGGGATTGACCCTAGTGTAGTGTTTGGAAAGAATCCTCAATAATAAAAACATGTGCTCATTCAGGACAGAAAAGAGAGAAACGGTATTTTGATTTTCTGTATGTCCTGCGCATATGGTGAATTGACAATAAAATCCTTGAACCTTGAAAAGTGACCACCTTCAAAGCCATGACCGGGACGTTAGATGTCCAGGTCGTGGACTTAGAGGACTGAAACTGCATCAAGCTGCAGCTTTACACAAACATTTGTGTCGACTTCTGTGGTTCGAGTCAATGTGTAAACCATCACTTTCAGTCCACTGAGGTATATTCAAGGTGTTGACTGAAGCAAGCAACACAATTGTTTGCCAGTGATGGCGCAGGGACTAGAAACATAACATCCCTCAAACATCAAAATAAAGAATAAGGTTGCATTTCCCTTTTGCTTCAAACTAGAAGAAAGCATTTTACTGAGAACAACATCCATTTCTCTATGTGTATCACATACAACTTGGCCAGAACTGCTAGTTTTGGAAGTTATAATACAGCTGCAGCAACACTCCAGATGACTCCTGGTAATATGCTGCTGAGGTTTTGACCAGATAAGACATGTGAAGCTAGTTAGTAGTTTCTGTTTTAGTCTGTGAAGAGCTGTTGCAGCCCTGTCCTGTCACTAAAACCCTGTTTGGATGTGATGCTTCACACCTAAAATTAAAGCTGGCCATTTGTTCTGACTGGGTCAAACAGTCCTGGCCAGCAGGTTGCGGCCATGCCGCTGCTGTGCTTCAGTGTGAAACCAAAGCAGTGCACTAACCTGTTTGTCCTTCTCTGTGTTGCAGAAACCCACGGACAGCTGGAGTGGACTCCTAAATACTCCTGTTACAGTCCTCTGTAATAGTGATTGTTTGGAAAGAAATTGGAAAATATTTATTGTCTGTAAATATTCTAAATATAGCGGAATAGATGGCAGAGTGTGATTCAAAAAACTGATGTGATGCTCTGTAGGGCGACAGATTTCCATCTTTGTGCTTTTTTTTTTTTTATTCCAATCATGTCAGATTTGTTTTGCTGTAATTTATTTTGTCTGAATGGTGTATTTATTTTGTAAATGTATTGAGGTGCTGCTGACCTTCTATATTTTTGTACCATAATGCACTTTAGATATATAAATATAAATATGTATACCATTACTGTCGTTTGACTTGTTTTTGTGGTTGAATGAAATGAAGAAAAGCGTCATTTTGTGTCTTCTGACTTCACTCTGGATGTTTTCGGCATGTTGTGTTCGACCCTCTCTGTTTCCTCCACCCGCTCTGTTTCTCAGTGCCTAAGTTCATATGTGTACATAAACCAAACATGGCTCGATATTGTTGTTTTGGCACTTGCACTGAGATAAACACCCTGTGCTGAACAGATTAAACATTTGACAGGAGCTGCTCTGAAGTCTGCTGCGTCTCTAATGTCACTTTGTCCTGTTATTGTTAACAAAAACATTAAATTTGCAGTAGTTGCTATTTTATGCCACAAACTTCACGTGAACTAATGGGGAAATGGCTCAGATACATTTCTCAAAGCTGCAATAATTGATTTTGTTTGCCACAAAACCTGAAAATGTAGCAAAAGCAATAATAATAATAATAAGGATAATCACCTTTATTTGGCCAAGTATGTTACACACACAAGGAATTTGTTTCCTGTGCAGAACCGAATCAAGTGTTTTTATTTTGCATTAAATGCTAATGAAAGATGGACGGCAAATTATTTCCACCTAATCTCAGTTTAAGTAGTGAAACAGCTAAAATTCTTTACTTAGAGCTGGGATTGGCTCCAGCCCCCTGTGACCCTGGTTAGGATAAATGGTATAGATAATGGATGTATCAATGGAGAACAAGGGGGAGCTGGTACGTGTGCCACCAGGGTCAAAACTAAAGCACATAAAGGGGGTTCACAAATTTAAATCGATAGTGGATAGACGGGTTTACTGATGTGAACAGTCTGAACTAAACAAAAGGAAGCATTGTCTTGGCTGTGTAGATCCAGTGTTGTGATAAATACACCAAGCAATGAAGGAGATGAATAAAAATATCCCTCACCTGGAGCTCAGACTCAAAACTCTGACACAGACTTACCTTTGGGTTCTTTACCCTGACACTGCACAGTGGTTTTGCTATATCCTGGTTATTCGTACTGGTACGAAACCATTGATGGATTATGAGGCACGAATTTCTAAAAGGCCCCCACCCCTCCTACGATGGCGCAAGAGTCCCAGACTACATGCAGTCATTTCGTGTCCCTTTGCAATCACTCTGCTCTATCTGTTGTTGTTTCAGTCCCTTAAAACAGTGACTCTGGCTCAGTGCCCCCTGGAACCCTTGAGCCCCTGGACCGTGGCCTATTGGCCTGTTCAGTGATCCATCTATGCATGTGCATATGACATTCAGACTCACAAAGGATACACACATTATTAGTATCAGGAATAGTAACTGACACCTAAGTTTAAAAAGTTGATTATGGAGCAACATTTCTTGAAAGCAGTTCAAGAAAGCAAAGAACTGCAAGTATCATGTTAAAGTAAATTAACCTAATGGGAAACCAGGCAGCACATTTCAGTCTGGAACCAGATTTGTCAGAGAGTCAGAAAACTCAAAGAAACTCTTCTCTTGTTCAGAGAAAAGCATTTGGCCTCGTTTTCACACTGGCTTTAAATCAGATGAAAAGCTGAAACTCTTCCAGAGCCAAAATAGAAGGGCATGAATAATCACCAAAAGTCCTGACCAAAACCAAACATCCCCTCCCCGACATGTAAAGCTGATCACAGACTCTCGAGGACCTAAACGAATGTGGGTCCATTTATGTTGTGTGAGAGGTCATTAGCACTGCTGTAGACTTTGTCCAGGACTTCTGGATCGGTACTGGTTCTCAGGGGAGTTTGTCTGGAGGGAGGAAGAATGACCCAGTTACAGTGTTGAAACCTTTTAATGTTAGGCTGCTCCTAACCACTGGAGGGTGGAGGGTCCAGATGTGCATAAACAGTCAGACTATTCTAATCTGTTCTGTCCTAAGAGTCTGGAAGCTGCAGAGAGAAATGAGTCAGAAGTCATCAATATGCCCTCTGGGTCTCTGCAGCAGGGAAATCCATCGGGCGGCAGCATGGGAAACATCCACACAGATTACATCAGATCCAGGATCAGTGATCCTGTGGCAGGGCCTCAGTCCTGGGTCAAGACTGAAGGCCTCCAGCTGTGGCTGCGTACAACAGGGTGAGTGTGAATACAGTACGGTATACAGAATGCAGTAGGCATCTATCTATTTGTCTGTCTGTCTGTCTGTCTGTTGTCTTTTTTAATATTTACGTATTTATTTATATAAGTCTTAAAGACATAAAGGCCTGGATGACCTGCAACTTCTTACTTCTAAACTCTGACAAAACCGAAGTCATTGTGCTTGGGCCTGAAAATCTTAGAAATCTGCTGTCTAATCATATAGTTACTTTAGATGACATAGCTCTTGCCTCCAGTACTACTGTGAGGAACCTTGGAGTCATCTTTGATCAGAATATGTCCTCTAGATCTGCCTTCTTTCACCTGCGCAATATTGCAAAAATCAGGAGCATCCTGTTTCAAAGTGATGCTGAAAAACTGGTCCATGCATTTGTTACTTCCAGGCTGGACTACTGTAACTCTTTACTATCAGGATGTCCCAATAATTCCCTAAAAAGCCTCCAGTTAATCCAAAATGCTGCAGCCAGAGTACTGACAGGAACTAGCAAGAGAGATCATATCTCTCCCATATTAGCTTCTCTCCACTGGCTCCCTGTAAAATTCAGAATAGAATTTAAAATCCTTCTCCTAACATACAAAGCCCTTAATGACAAGGCTCCATCATATCTTAAAGACCTCATAGAGCCTTATCATCCTAACAGAACACTTCGCTCTCAAAGTGCAGGTTTACTTGTGGTTCCTAGAGTCCACAGAAGCAGAATGGGAGGTAGAGCCTTTAGCTATCAAGCTCCTCTCCTATAGAACCAACTCCCAGTCTCAGTTCGGGAGGCGGACACCCTCTCTACCTTTAAGATTAGACTTAAGACGTTCCTTTTTGATAAAGCTTATAGTTAGGGCTGGATCAGGTGACCCTGAGCCTTCCCTTACTTATGCTGCTATAGGCCTAGGCTGCTGGGGGCCCCATGATGCTCTGAGTTTCTCTCCCCT